GTCAGGATAGTGACTAATTTCAGCTAATTCTTGCCCTCTGCTTCGCGTTTCCTTCAGGCACAGTTTGCATAGCTCTAGTCACTTGTACAAATATTTAAAACCAGCGAGACAAACCAAGCATAACAAATCCAGGAATAAAGCAACTCCCACAGAAGCCAATGTTTACCCAAAGCGGAGGATGAAATATTCCACACCTCTCTCCAGGCAGCCCCTTCTGTTTCTCTTAAGGTGGGATCCGATGACACTGTGGATAATAATGACCAAAGAGCCAAAAGTCCATGCCATTTCTGCATTCCCACCTTGGACCCTCAAGTTGTTCAACCTTTCCAGCCTACTCTTTGTGACCCTGGAAGGGTTGCAGCTTCTGTGGGCTGAATGCAGGTGCAGGCTTTGTGATGATGAAGGTACATGTGTCAGTCCCATCCCTGTTATACATATGAATCTGGACCTCAGGCCTGATAGATACTGTCAACCCCATCACAGGACTGTGCTGTGAGCAGGAATCACCATCCCTCTCTATTGTCCCATGTCTTCAACACAGCTGGGATTTGGCTGCCCTAACAAAGCAAATGAAAAATTTCATTGGGCAAGAAAAAATTACCAACAGACCTAATAAAGTAAATTAATCCCATCAAAGTAAAGCACGTTGTTAAGAACACTGAAATTTCACCCTCGCTGATACAATCGCCTTCCTGCAGTAAGGAAACATCTCCTACAAAAAGCCAGACAGCTGAAATACCATTTGTTTTGAAATGAACTTTTAGCCCCATAGCTCAGCCAAGCATCCACATCTATTTCTCTCCTCTGAAACATAACCAGCTCTGTGAGCTGCCAGACAGCCAGGAGAGCACTCCAGGCTGCAAACAAAATGATACCATTGTCTTGGGACCGCCACAGTCATTGTTCCCACCTTATACACATCCCACCGCTTTTGTAAGGCTGACAAAACAGCTACGGGCAGCTCCTTCCACTCACAACTGCTTGGTGATGCTGTGAATCAAAGCTGGAGTTGGAATAAGGCAAGTGGCAGAAGTGAAATGTAATATGCTCATAGCAATAAGTTGTTGCTGTAAAGATCAAATTTAGGAGTCCCAAATTGATGCAAGATGCCAAATTACATTTACCTATGTTCCCACAGGCACAGGTAGCTCATTCTGCAGGTGAAGCTGCTTTGTCACTTACATTTCCAGTCCTCTCCCCTCAGCAGTAAGCTGAGACATCCCTGAAGGGCCACCAAGGCTTTAGCTCCCAGTCATGGGTACCTGACATTCCCCTTTGCAATCCCCATGAGCACAGGAAAAGCTACAGTGCTCACATGGCACCTGAATGTTCCTGGGGTTCCTAAATAAAACATCCTGCAATTCAAGCTCTGTAGTTAATGCACAGTATTACCCTATATATAAGTCAGTATGTTGTACTGTCTACCTATATGTAGCATGAATTTAATCCGAGTCCAAACTAGATTTTAAAGTGAAAATCAGGTTGATATCTACAATTGCATTTTGAAAGTGACTTTTCATATTAGAGAAAAGGGCATTCGTAGAAAGGGCTTCTACCCTTCACAACAGCTTCTGCCACCACCATTTGTTGGCATCCTTTCAGACATTCCTGATAATGACTAAGGCCTGTTCATGACCTCCAACTTTTATCATTGCATCCTCTGGGAAGAATATATTGGATCGAGAGATGTTGGGAAACTGTTGTCCCATCCACCGAGGAGATTCTTAACCAGGCCAAGAGAAGCATGAGGGTAAGGTTCCTCAGAAAGTTTCTTCAAACTCTTCACCATACGGAATATGGACACACCACCGTAAAGGAGTGAATGTGGGCAGACAGACCATCCCAAGGGCTTGCAGTTAGGGTGGCTTCCAGATCTGCTGGATTCCTGCTCTACTGACAGGCTGCAGCAGAGTTGGAGAATTACGTTATTAATCAGAGCCTGTGAAAAACAAGAGGAGAGCCAAGCTGCCCGGCACGATAGGAATGTTAGGCAAAGGTGTCTGTAAACTTCTGCTGACCCCTTACACCAACCAGGTTGAGAGCTCTTTCATTAATGCTAATGCTTTTCATATTAGTGTTTCACATAAAGAAATCCTGCTGACTGCTGGGGTCAGGGAGTTCGTAAGATGCGGCGGCCACATCAGCAATACACTGATGATTGTTTCTGACATGACCCCGCAGCTAATGAAGGGCCATTTGTGAGGGGAATTGCTTTTCATACAGAAAGAGGTTTGTGATGAAGGTATAAAACACATCTGGCGTAGACAGGCTGCTTCTTTCACGATGCAGTAATGAAAAAGACCCCAACTGCACCGAGACATGGTGTATCTGTGTGAGTAACGCATGTCCCTGGGTTTCTTCTTCCCATTCTGGTCACTAAGTTTCTCCATACACAAGACATTGCTTCTGCTCTTCGTTCTAAATGACCCCCACCTCAAGTACTTCACCTGGAAAGTCAGACCTTTTGAAACCCAGGTCAATAATAAAAGCCCATGCATAAACCTATCACATAACCATAGGAGAGAGGTCTGGAGGGGGGTTTAGGATGTTATCCAGAAAGGGACAAGAGCTCTGGCAATCCTGATGGATACACCTTTAACCTATACTAAACACACTCTATGGAGACCCCCAGGAAACCGGGCCAGAGGACCCCCTCTTGTTGTAAAGAAAGTCTCTATTACTGTGCCTTTGCAGGATCTCAGGAACATCCTTTGCTGTATGTAAATCATGCTCTTCTGCGGTAGCCTGAAGGCTCTCTTCCCTAACAGATAACACTTATCTGTTTATAAAAAACCTCACAGACCTGCATGTTTAATTTGTTAGTGAATAATGGTTTCATTACTTAATAGGAGGGGCTACCTGTATTATGGGGGACTGCAGAATTATGGGGGATTTAATCATTTTCACCCTAAGGAGAACAAGTTACCGTAACAGTGTACGAGTATAGAGGTGTTACAAGATTTTCAGGAGGAAGGGATTGCATGCAAATCTACAGAACTGACTGAGCAGAAAGCTCTAGAGAGCCCACAGACAAGGAACTGCCATGCTGAGAACGTTGTCCTTCACCTTGAGAAGGACCCGCTGGGAGAAGAGAATTCCATATTATGAAAAATGTCAGGATGTCAGATATTCATCCCTCGAGTGGGGTGAGACACTGCCTCTCTCAGCAAGCCTCTTCTCTTGGATCTGTTGTTCTTTGCATAAATATATGATACCAAGCAAAGAATAGCAGTAACACAGACATGGGTTTCCCACCCACCAGTGAACTGCAAAGCCATGGGTTCTTCTGCTGGAGCTGTTTGGCTCTATGATCCAGGAGGAACATGCTATAAGAAGTTCTGTTTTAAAAAGCGCTTTTCCACAGAAGGTTTTAGCTTTGATGAGCCATTTTTCTCCAGCATAAATACAGGTAGTCAACATCTCCAGCCTGTTCTTTAGCTTAACATTCCAATAGGGGAATGAAGCTGAAGGGTTCACAGCGATATTATTGCTGCTGTAGGGTTGCAATGAAGAACAGGGCTCCAAAAGGCATCAAAGGACACAAGAAAAGAATCTGGGGTCAGCCTTCAGCCATAGCACTTTTCCTGGTGTTTCTCGTGGGGTTGCTGTTTGCCTTTGAATAAGGGGCAAAATTCACTCTCCAAGTGGCTCCAGTTGAGACCACAGCCACCAGCATGGCCAGTGAAATCAGGAGGATGGGCACCGTGCCTCTTGAGACAAACCAGTTACAGCTGGCAAAGTGCAGAAGTTTTTAATAAGAGCTGGGCAGCTGCCTTAATCTAGGGCTGGCACATGAAAAACAAGAGCCCGTGTGCCCAAAAGCTTATCTGTTTCATTCAGCTGTATCAGCTGGCCTAATAAGAGATATCTCTCCTTACAGCTCTCACCATGGAAATGGAAGTCATTCATCCAGAATGACTTTTCCCTGCACTACCTTGACCTTTTCTGTTGATGCTGCCTTTTCACTGTGATTTTTTTACACATTTAGGGGATAATCACAGAATCTAACTCTAAGTGCATTATGAGCTTACATGTCCTATGTAATAATGGAACCCCAAAAGCAGTTGCAGAAAGCTGTTAGAGTCCTCCAGTTAGAAGCCAGTTTTAATGTATTCCAACTACTTACAAGCATATATTTATACCCATAGACTTAACTACGGAGCTAAGCAGATTTATATTGATCTCAGTGTTGTTACAGCAGATGCCAATATGTATACTTGAAGCATATTCATTAAACTTCAGATTATATATATTTTAAAGGGTGCTAATAGCACCATTTGATGTGGTAATTATTGATATTGGCTTCCTGTAGAAAGAGCACTCAAACTACCAGCTAATTTCAGCCAGAAAACAGCTGTCACATGGTAATGACATTAAAAGTCACTGAGCTGATCTGCATTCAAAGCCATGCCACAGAGGTGAAAGGCCCTGTAGCCAATTATTACTCCTCCGAGCCAGACAGTCCCCAAACACAAGCAACATATGCAGACCCATCCCTCCTTGTCCTTAATTAGATCCTGCCTACCCTCTGTAGCAACAGCAGTAGAAGTGAGAAGGGCACATGTTAGGCAGGGGGGAAATGATCACAAAGAGATCCCCATGTGCACTGTCTGGCATGTCCTGCATGCTGTACATGGGGAGGAAAAACAGCAGCAAGAGACAGTTCTGATAGTGTCCATGCTGCAAAACATAGGACTTTGATGGAGCACATGACACTGTGCTCAATCCCCCAAGTCTCTTTGTCTGCTGCAACGAGCAGGTCACTGACAGATTAGTAAGGACTGGGTTTTCTGGTAGCTGTGGGTACACAAGGAATCCAGGCTTGCACCCACTGCTTACGAGGGAATAACCAAAATCATCTTTGGCACAGTTTAGTACTGCAGTGAATCTACCCTGTTTGCAGCCGTTACAAAACTGGGTAAAAACTAATGACAAGGTCCAAAGAAAGGAACTAGAGTGGCCAAGCTGTCTTAGTAGAGACTTACCAACCAAAACCTCACCTGGCTGTTGCTGCAGGTGCTGACACAGAGGACTTTCACACCCATATCTATGCTTGCTCCCTGCAAGGTCCCACTCACTCTGATGGGAGCCTTTCTGTTAGAGTTGGTGCAAAGCCTGGTTCTGCTTCTCTTTCCAGAAGAAAAGGCCCTGATCTCTTTAGCACATCTCCCAGAAGCATCAGCTGTCTTCTCTGTGACACCAGGCACTCTGCAGGAGCAGACACGCTCCTTGTGAGTAACAGACCTCTTCCATTGCTTTAGCCTGAAAAAGTGACAGGATCCATATGAGCATATATGAATAGCATGATCCATACAATACAATTAATAGTGATCTACAGATCATTCCCACATTACTCCAAGGTATCTTCCTTGCAATTGCTCCTACTCTTCCTACACATGACTTAGCCTCATCAATGAGTCTCTTTTTTCCCCCCAGCAATTCTCCCTGCTGCAGCCAGCTTTACCCTAGGAAGGTGCTCTGCCATGGGAGTTATCCTTCCATGGTTTTAATCCCTCTGTCAGGTGAATCCCCACCATACCAGCTGCTGCCTACTCCCCAGCCTACCTATTTGGCAGAACCAGGTTTCTGATGTGGAACTGATACAACCTGCTAGTGGCCAAGCAATGGTCAAACCTTGACAGCCCACTAACCCAGTGTAGATGTGTCAGCAGCGTGCACATACATTAGCCCATTGAGTATCTATTTCCCAGTCCCTGAGAGCACATCTAGAAAGGAAACACCCCCTCTGGGATCAGCAGACGAGAAGCACAAGATCAAATCAACACAGTGAGTCATGCACAGAGTCATTCTCATAGAAATCTCCTTCCTTCTCTATACTGCACTGCACTGACTTCAACACTTACTCAGTAACAGATTAAATATTTCCTTTCTGAACTTCAAGGGCTGCAAATTAAAACAGCAGCAGAAAGGAAAGGAATTGCAGCAAAAACAATCATATCTGCATCAACAAACTGCACTTAGTCACTTCTTTATACTGCAAGTCAGATTCTGTGCATGGTTTTCTCTGTTTCCACTGATCTGCATGAAACTTAATATGGATTTAAAAAGAAAACCACTGCCTAAGACTTTCCGAAATGATCCTATACATTTTGCTGTCGATGAGTCAGGAATGACCAATACATAAGGAATCTGCAGGAGGAGAAGACTTCCACGTTTCCCTCAGAAATAAACATAGAGATCTCGGAGCACAGAGAAACGAATGGAGTGCATGGAGCAGGAAGGGAGGGTCTGACACCGTGCCCCTGGAGCTATGGCTCAGGCTAATGAATTATCTCTGCTTGGTTAAATCTCTGGCATTACTAATCAGACAAGAAGCATAAAACGGAAAGTTCATTAGCAAGATCATAAAAGAGTCACACTGACAGAGATCATTCGGCTTGGCGATGGGATGGTCAGCTGCAGACACTGGGAAACCGCTTTGTTTAAGGAAAACAAGTTAGAGCAGGAAAAACTCGGAGTCTAGAAAAGACCTGCACTGGAGCTGTGTGCAATGCTCTGCTGTATTTGTGCAACATATGCAGGGAAACAGGAACAAACAGGCTGCATGGAGACCTCAGAGCAGTCCTCCAGTATCTGAAGGGGGCCTATAGGGATGCCGGAGAGGGACTCTTCATTAGGGACTGTAGTGATAGGACAAGGGGTAATGGGTTCAAACTTAAACAGGGGAAGTTCAGGTTAGATATGAGGAAGAAGCTCTTCCCTGTGAGGGTGGTGAGGCACTGCAATGGGTTGCCCAGGGAAGCTGTGAATGCTCCATCCCTGGCAGTGTTCAAGGCCAGGTTGGACAGAGCCTTGGGTGACATGGTTTAGTGTGAGGTGTCCCTGCCCATGGCAGGGGGTGGGAACTGGATGATCTTAAGGTCCTTTCCAACCCATACCAATCTATGATCTATAATATCTGACCTGTGAAACATCCTTTGACAGTGGATAAACTAGATTTTCTTTCATCAACATCATCCTGGCCTGGGGTAAGCTGAACAATACCAGCCTTCCCCACAGCTGATTCATTTACCTTCATCCAGACCCAGTCAGCCCACAGCTCCTCTGTAGCAAACACTTCCAGCACAAGTCACAAGACAGTCTCAGAAGCAGAATTTGCTAATTGTGTCAAATTACGTGTGAAGGGTTTACAATATGGATCACTGCCCACCTGGGATTGAGAGGAGATTGCTAAAGTAATTTCAAGACTCCAAGATAATTCAGAAACCCCATTCCCAGAGGTTACTAAACGCTCTGTCCCCTTATTACTACTACAACCACGCTGCACTGGGGCTTGGATTTGTTCTTCAGGGGTAGGAGGGAGAGGAAATAATGGTGGGGGTTTTATTAGAAAGATTAGGAGAAAAAAAAAGCAGAATGTGTATATTCCCTGTATTTACCCTGGTTTCCTAAAGAAAGGACTAAGAAGCTTTTATCACAGCATCCCAGACTGGTTTGTGTTGGAAGGGACCTTAAAGCTCACCCAGTTCCAACCCTCTGCCACAGGCAGGGACACCTTCCACTAGAGCAGCTTGCTCCAAGCCCCTGTCCAACCTGGCACCCTTTATATTACTTATATGCATGTTTATATGTATATATGCATATAATATTTAACCTTTTCACTTTTGAGGGCACTAACCTATTTCAACCGCATTTGGGAGAGAGAGGGCAATAGCAAAGGGATTCTAACACATCTCATTGACATGAAATAGGCAGTTTGAAAAGAGGCAGAAACATTATTACTGCTCCTTGGGCAAACAATACAACCTGAGCTCAGCCATGAATGGACACAGAGAGCTCAGTTAGGAAGAGTGCACAAGCAGGAAAATTCCATCCTCACCTTTGTAAGCCTTGCATAACCCCCACAAAATACACAGACCTGTAGGAAATTCAGTCACAGCCCTGATGCATGCAAACAACTTTCAGTGTGATGCCTCTACCTGGAGATGCTCCATCAGCTGAAGCAGCCAACTTCCAGCATGTTCCTTTCCAGAGCAGATACACCAGCCATAACGGTCTGAAGAACAGAGGAAATCAAGGTGTTTGTTTCCATACAATCAAGAAAAGCCACTAGTCCAGGTTTGCTTGCTTCAGACCTGACACTTGGATGGGATGGCAAGCTGCCTCCTCATCCTCACTGCATCGCAAGAGCCTGAGCATTGCCCATGGGCACAGCAGGAGTGCCTGTGCACAAAAGGTCTGTTAATGGGAAAGAGAAGGATCTCACCCCCCCCCAAAAATGGTGTTTACTGGTGTTCAGGATTGAACCTGGCAAGAAGAGATTTCAAACACGCAAACACACAACTCCCACTGTAGCCAGGCAAAGGTAAGACTCAAGAACCTTGATGGCTGCCACTCTCCCTATAGGAATGAGCTTAATGTCAAGTTCCTCTTACTTTTTCCCCCCTAAACCATAACCTTGCATATCCCACAAGCAATTGTCACGATGCACATCAGGAAGAGAGTATCAAATAAATGTGAATGGTTTCTAAGCACCCTGCTCCATGCAGGATTAACCTGTACAGGATACATTTTGGAGAATGGTCCTTCATGTTTATCCACAGCCAACCTAAATTGCAGAGGGGGGAAGTATCCTGACCACGAAAGACAGTTTTACAACGAGGACACATAGCACAATAACCATTTAGGCAGATTAAAGCATACTGAGAGCTGCATCAAATATTGTTTAGAGCACATAAAAACTGCTTTAATATTTAAATGTATCCCATGGCTGGGCTCTTTAGATTTGCTAGATTCACTGGGGCTGCACAGCTATTAACTTCTACATTTCATCTTAAATTCCTCTTCACAGTAGGAGAAACATAAAAATGAGGGTCACTGCTTGGTCATTTCATTACCCCTGGCAGAGAAATGTGCTTTGCACAAATGGGGAAATATTTTAGCTGTGGATTGTTGTAATGTTGGTGTGACAAAATAAAACTAGAGTTAAAAAATAATAACGATATTATAATGGTTATTTTTGTAGGATAACATTAAAATAATGCGCAATGTAGCAACGGTCCCCTTATCAAAGGGCCTGGTGTATTTCACTGTCATCATTTAACAGGCCCATTAGCAAGAGCCCTGGAAATGTATGGCTCAAGGTCACAACCAAACTAAATGAGACTGAGCAGTAATTCAAAAACATTAAACTGTTTGTGGTTAGATCCAATAAATAAATCCTCAATGCACACACACACACACACACACGTACACAAATCTTAGCTCAAACTCCTCTGTGAGTCTCTTTTTATTTCTCTGGAAAGAGAAACTCAGTGAAAGGAATTGATAATCTGCTTAAACCCGGCAATGGATTGGATGAAATGTCACTTTGGGAGATGTGCGACTTCCCGCCACAAACATGGATTAGGCTGCACAAACTGGTTGGCAATGGGTGTCCTTGCAAGCCACATGCAAACAATGCGTTTGCCCAAGGCCAGTGGCCACAACAGGCAAAGAGATGGGCAAGATCGGGGCAGGAAACATGGGCTGATGCAGGCATGGAGCCCTCCACTGTGCCACATTGCCTGGGTAGGGGGAGAAGATTATTACTAGTCTCAAGGACTAGATTAAGTACAGAAGAAATAGGAACACATTGCTATTTATTAATCTTCGCCTGCGAGGAGAAAACCAGTCATCTTAGTTCTATTTGCACTATCGAAATCATGACATTTAACTCACATTCTAAGCATCTGAATAAAAGAGACTTGATTTTCAGCTGTACTATTCTCCTTCTAGAAAGTCAGTGGGAGGTACTTGCCTCTGCTTTATCAGCTTTAAGTGAATCACAGAATCATTACGGTTGGAAGGGACCTCTGGAGATCATCCAGTCCAACCCCTGAAGATGAAGATGACAATGTCTTCTTGACTTTGCAATGACAACATCCGAGACAATCCCTTCTAGCACTGAATGAGAAATTGTGCTGAAATGGGATACCCAGCATTATTTGCTGCCAGGCTATTCCTCACAGCTCTCTGCTCTGGCCTTGAGCTGTTCCTTAGGTATTCCAGGATATATGTCTTCTGATGACCGTAGCAGGAATTTCTGTCTGTAAGAATCATTGAAGTTGGCATGTTCAGTGCAATCAGAGGCACAAAAGTGTGGGAAAAGGTCATTTAGCTAGTTTTGATGAGAAATGTTTTGGTATTTTTAGACACATGTACCAAAAGACTCTCCTATGAGCAACAAGCTCTGGAATAGCCTCCTATGCGGAGTATTAGGACCTAAACTCCCAAGCCCAGCTAAATATTAACAAACACAAGAAATCTTTTCCAGTCTTACTGCTTCTGCCTGAAATCCGTTCTCCTAAACCTTAAGATCTCTCACTTTCACAAGCCCTACAAAAATGCCAGAAATGGAAACGGAATTCACATGGCACGAACGCCATCCATCACCAAAGTGATTCTTGGGGGGCAAAAAACCACATGAAGTAGCCTCCACTGCCACCTGTAAATGGAA